AAACAGTTAAAGTATTGGATTTCATTAACCAATGTCACCATAAAAAATAAATTAATTAATTTTAAAAAATAAAAATAATAAAAAAATAAAAAATAAAGTGGTGGAAGGCTGCCCTCCCTCCATGATAATAAGAATTTTATCATTTAACCACAAAGTTTAGGTTGCTCTCCAGGGTTGAGAGTCTTGGGGTTTGTTTGTTTGTTTGTTTGTTTTCTTTTTGGTTATTTGAATATGGAAACTTTCAGCACAATTCATTATACTTATATTCATATTAAGGGTTATCAATTTTCACTTGCTTCAGAAAAATTCTTACCTTTTAGGCTTGTAGTTTCAACCACTTTTGTCCCAAAGAAAAAGACAATACAGATATATAATTAAATCAAAAACTTAACAAATCAGGATAAATCTAGGTTTAAAGTTTTTCAAAATCTTGCCTGGAGTACCATTGGAGTAGGGGACCAAACCAACAAGAGATGATTCAACTGCAGGAGAAAAAAGAAACAAACAAGAAAATACTCAATTTAATACTTTGATACAATTATTTAATGAATTTTAACGAGTTAGACCTTTTGAGATATAATTATGAAAAGGAAGTGGAAAACATGCTATCAGGCCAATATGTAGTTAAATCTTCAAGTCCCATAATCACTTAGTGAGTATACATTTAATCAGAGAATTGTAGATAAAGAACCCAAGAGATGAAATGAGTGTGACTGTCTCATTTTACAGATGAAGAACCTGAAACTCATGACCACAAAGCCTGCTCCTACCATGGAATATTATGGAAATAAGTGAGGTATATTACTTACAAATTTTTTTAACCAGAGAGTTATAGAAAACATTTTATACTTTAATTTGTCAAACTACAATTATGAAACATATTAGCACATTGGCTCCATTCTGTTATGATGACCCCTGGCAACTTTTCCCATAGTGAATTTAGGATTAAAACAAACAAACAAACATTGCTATCACTCAGTACTGTACTACCTAACACAATTTCTTGATAAGTTATTTTAAAGCATGGCTGCTATTAACCAAGTTATAAATTTACCGTGGAATAACTCCACTTATGCTAAGAGGTCAGTCTACTACACACATTTTGCATGTTTAAATATTAAAAATATCCAGTGGCTTGACCTCTATGTATACACAGACATTTTACAACTAAAACAAGCCTTGCAGTAGGGAGCCTGATATTCACCCAGTAAGGACATTTGGGTGTGTCGAGGGATTTGGCTGGCCTGTCTGTTTTAGAACGTTCATGCCTTGGCTGAAACACACACACACCCTGTCTGTCCTACATTATTCATTCCATATTTTGTCATTTACTACATTTTTTAAAAAATTACCAAGGATACTTCTTGAGAAGTAAGACAGTTCCTGAGCAGTAACACTCAAAGTATAGATATACAATCCTTTGCTCTTGGGGCAGAACAAAATAATTGGCTAAAGCTGGTTTCATTGATGAATAGTGATGCCATCCAAAGAAGAGACCTATGGGCACAGCCATGCATCTGTCCCTGATGTACACTGGCTCTTACCTTCCAGTTAGTGCAGCTCACCCCTATGGCACCCAGGACCCAGGCTGTGACTGGAACCAGTGTGTGTCTCCAAAGCCCCATACCCATTCCATGCAAACAGGATTTTGCAAATATATCACCATCGTTAAGTCTAATGAAGGCTACTGTACCAGAAGAAAAATGCAGGGGTTCATTTTACCCTTGAAGCTTAACAATGAGAGGGCAAATTGGCACAGTAAAAAGAGCTTGGGCTTTGAAGACTTGCAGTCCTGGGTTTGAACCTTTGCCCCATTACTTAATAGCTTATAATAATGATAACTATTACTTATTGAGGGTTTACTCTGTGCCAGACACATGTATTATCTCACTTCATCTTCACAGCTACCCTATGAAGCAGGTACTGTTAATCCTCTATTTACAGATGAAGAAACAGAGGCACAGAAAAATGAAAGAACTTGCCCAAAGTCACACAGCTAGCATTAGGGGTAGGAGGATGGTGGTTAAATTCAAACCCAAGTAGCCTGGCTTCAGAGAATGTGTGAACTTGAGCAAATTTTATCCTCTCTGACCCTCAGTTTCCTCATCTCTAACATGAATATAATGATTCTTATGCTGCAAGAGTGGACGCAAAATGAGATGTTTGAAGACTCCCAGGCATGTAGTATGTGTACAAGAAGTAATGACTATTATTATTTTGTTTAAATGATGTAATTAATAACAGAAGCTCATTTTCACGCAACTAAAGATAAAATGTGAGTTGAGTCACTCCTTACCACAAAAGATTATTCTGTAATATATGGTATACCAGAAAGAATACAGAAGTAGGAGTTAGAGAAGCCACGTGCTGCCTCTGTGTGTTGCAGGGCAAGAAGCTGTGTGACCTCAGACAAGTTACTCAGCCACTCCAGGCTTCACTATGTCATCAGGTAAGGGATGGGACTGGGCCACTTTATCTCTGAGGTCCTATTCCAGCTAGCATTCTCAAATGTGAGTTCTGTTCCTGGTTCCTGTCAAGACGGGTCCTACTTATAAATTTCTCTTTAGTTTATTTGCCTTTCCATTCTCCTGAGTGCTAAACCCTTTGAAGCTTTTTGAAAAATATTCATTCTGTGGGGTGCTGAGGAAGTGTAAAAGAACATCTTATCACTCGAAAATGAGAACATTCAGCATAATTATGTTCTTGATGCTCTTTAGTAGACTAGTTAACTAGAATACTAAAAGCAACATTGAAGAACTTAAGCAGTTACCATAATGAAAACCTCCAATTTACTCCCCAGCTTTGTCCAGCAATGTGATGGAACAATATGCCTGTCCTCTTGTCTGTGTTTGCTATTGATTTTTCAGGTGTAGGTTTAATGACAGAACTTAATGTAATTAAATTTCATGGTAAAAAACAATTTTGCTGTATCTGACTATATGCCATATTGCACGGAGAACTTTTAGAATATTTTCCCGAAATTCCTCAAAATCAACGAAATAACAGTCTTACCAGGTGGTGATAACAAACTGGAATTATCAGCATTCTCTGTTGAGGAAAAAGATGATTTAAAATTAGTTTAGTTTGGAAAAAAAAATTAGTTTAGTTCGTGCATAAATTTGTAGGAGATTAACATCTTTAATGGGAGTGAATGTAAAATGAGATGCAAATAGCTACCAGAAGAGGGCAGTATGTTAATTTACTATTATTTTCAACAGCCTAATTGGTACTTCTTTTCAATTCTCTACAAAGACATATCTCTGGTGAAGCGATTCTTCCAATTCAACTGTTGATAGTGCTCTATATATTTTGTTATAAAATGGTTTAGTACATTTTAAACTAAAAATGATGATTAATAACTTTAATTCTTGGCTAATATTAGAATTTGTAAAAGTAAATGAATATGTCTGCATAAATTAAACTTCCATTAACTATACTTCTTTTTATACCTATTAGCATAGACTTTATACCTACTAAGCCACTTCTTTTTTATGAGTTAAACTAGATCAGATGCCTCTGGGTGTATAAACTATAAGAACTGTTGTGTTATTTATTTCGGAAGGATACTAAGATTCCTTAAAATAAAGGTAATTCTATTTTTTAATCTCTGAAAAATAATATACACTTATTGGAGCAACTTCAGAAATTAAAGATAAAAAAAGAAGAAAATTAAAACCACCTATAATTTTCCACCTACAGATAAATGACATTAACATTTTGGCATATATTCTATTCTCTATGTGTATACGTATACCTACATATATATAGTTGACCCTTGGGCAAAGCAGGAATTAGGGGCATCAATTCCCACACGCAATCGAAAATCTGAGTATAACTTTTGACTCCTCCAAAATTTAACTACCAATAGCCTATTGTTGACCAGAACCCTTAACAATAACATAAACAGTTGATGAACACATATTTTTTGTTATATGTATTATACACTGTATTTTTATATTAAAGTAAACTAGAGAAAAGAAATTGTTATTAAGAAAATCATAAGGAAGAGAAAATACATTTATAGTATATATTGAATAAAATCTGTGTATAAGTGGATCCAGCAGTTCAAACCCATGTTGTTCAAGAGTCAAATGTATGTAGATAAATGAATATATGCATGTGTATATATGTGTTTATATATATGATAAGAAAGATCCTATCACTTAAACTATTTATAACTTGATTTTTCTCATGACCTTATAACATGGTAACTATAACCTGATTTTTCTGTGTACAGAGTGGTTAGTCCCTTGATGCCCTAATTTAATTAGAATTGACTCTTCTTAGTCTCTGTCCTTCACTATATCCTTCATGTTACTTTAATATTCCACCAATCAAAGAGTCTGTTGAGTTAACAGGAGTTTAATTTTTAGAATACTTTTGGAAGCACAAAGGGTAAATTAGTCATTCACACCTTAGTATGAATTAATTCTAATTGGCTGAATTCTTTGAATCATGTAGCAAAGACTTACCATACTGAGCCATGTTGAAAAGTACTGAGAAGAATCAGCATTCAATATGTGCTACTCTGAGAATGACGCTCTCAGTGTGGGCAGGTGAGGTGGAGTGGGGTGGGAATGTGGCACAGGCAAGGAATCTCATGAAGGCACTGAGGAAGGGTTGACTACCAAGGAGGAGAGATGGAGAGTGATTCCAAAGGGCAACAGAGGCTAATACCGCTTCCTTTACAATTTTTCCCAGTGGCTGACCATAGCCACCAATGGTTCCAGCCTTCTCCACAGCTAAATCCTTTGACCAGAGCTGTGTACCCACTGGGAAGGGGGCTGATTTGAGTTTCAACTCGTTCTTAGATGTCAGAGGAAATGTAGAAGTTATGGGTAATAGGAGAGCCAGAGCAGAGAAGGGAGTTTCCTGGGAAACCTACAAAATTGGTTGGCCATCTCTGGGTAGACATGTTTGACAGGCATGGACTCATAATCAAGAGGTAAAAGCTGAACAAAATGTAGATCAAGGGCTAGACCAGCCCACCTCATAGACAGAGCTGGCCTCTTCCATCATAAAACCTATAAGGCTCCCAGTAGCAGTCTATATTGATGAAGGGAAGGAATCTGGTAAATAGAAGTTAGAGATTTTAAAACTGTTTTTGACCACTTTTTCTCTTTTGGCATTTTTTTTTTCTTCTTCTAGGGGCCTGATTGCTCAGTGATTAATATTTTATTCACTTTTTTGCCTCTCATTGTGCTGCTCCACATCACTCCTCATAGAAACGTCCCCATAGGCCTTACATTTTCCTGAGAATAGCCTCTGTTTCTCTTGGGCTCTCTCCTAACTCATTTCCCATTTGTTACAACCAAAGAAGTGGTTGTCATTTCCAGTGAGTCATATATTTGAGTTCCATGCCACTCTTAGGAGACAAAACATTCCCATTGTTAAAAAGATTCATAAACAAAGAAAGGAAAAACAGTTAAATTTTCAGATTTTCCTTTGGAAACCTACAAAGAGCAAATTTTAAAGCACTATTCATTTATTGAAGTCTGATTTAAGTCAATAAATAAAATTATTGTGATGTGTCTATAAAATTTACTCAGTATGACTCCCTAGTGGTTTTTTTTTTTTTAAACTAAGTCTATATATTCCAATTATGATGAGCAGGAATTTGGCATGCGTAAGCTTAGGATGGAAGCCAAAC